AGGAAGAGAAAAGTTCGGCGTCACCGCCGTACACTCACACCAAAGATAACAATCCGCAACAAAGGCGCATTCGCCGTTAATTCCAAAATGGCCCCAGGCCAATCAACTCAACATCGATCCTCATACCCACACCGATGATCCCGGCCGTCGCGTGCTACTCCCACCACTGCGATTGTCACCCCGCTGTTGCAGACTCGACACGGTTCATCCAGATCCCACAGTCCGTCGTGACGATCCAACGCGCAACCGGCCAATCTATCGTCAGCCCGACAGGACTTTCTAAATTGCTTCAAACACTCTGCCTAGCTACTGCTTCCCGGAAGCTGGCTTGAGAGTTGAGAACAAAAAAGAGATTTGCGGGCGCGCTTGCGGGTTTTATAGTTGCGAGAAAGGAGATAGAAGAGGGAGAGAACGACGGGAAGGCGGGGGTGTAGGAGGAGAAGGAGGAGAAGACTTTGAGAAGAGTGCTCTACGAGCGCCATGTTGATTCCTCATAACTCAAGGTTCAACCATTCAGATACGTCGCGCGATAGGAAGGTCCTATCGATCCACGCACCTGATTAGCGAGCGGGAGTTATCAGGGGATCGACCGGGCGTCGTACGCCAGACTCAGAGGGTGAGAAGAGAAAAGGCACGAGAGGTGGCGCAAGACGGGTCCAAGATTCAGACGATCAAGAAAGGGAAATGGGCGCGCCAAAAGCAAGACAAGGGAGGGGGAGGAGAGAGAAAGAAACAGTTACAGGGAGAGAGAAAGAGAAGGGAGCGCGGGAGGGAGGGATAAAGGGGACAGAAGGGAGAAAGCTTCTTCATACGCGGCGCCGTCAACAAAAAAAAAAGAAAAAGGCACTGAAACAGTTACAGCTTGCTTCTATCCTAATTCAAAAATTGAAATCACCATATCCGCGCGCGAAAGAGTGACGCGGGAAAAGAAAAGTCCTACGCTTGAACAAAATTCCGACAGTTTTCTCCGACGCGACCAAGAACATTCACACACTCGGAAAGGACACGTCGAAGTTCCGCTTATCCCGGAATTCCCAACCGCTGGGCCCAATTCCCAGTGTGCTCGCTAAGGCGCACGCAAATCCCCATGTATTTCCCGACTTTGCAAAAAGAAAAACAGAACTCAACAGTCGAAAAAGCTCTCCCAAAAGGGAAAATGCGGCACTCGAAAGCAAGAAATAAAAAACGGGGTTTTCCTGGGGTTGGTAATAAGCAAAAGAAAGGGTACGAAAGGTGGCACGGGGTCGTGAAGTGGTTCGTCAGATCCCGGCCCCTTCGGACTGTGAGACCCTTGCGCGCGTACCCCTCATTTGCCTAATTGCGTTCATACCCCTAAGACTCCCCCACTTCCCCAAAAATCCTTGGCACACCCCTTTTCGCACGTCCAGGCCCACACTCCACTCCGATCAGGAAGTCGCGCTGGGCGTGAGGTTAGGGCGTCACAGCGTCGCTCTCCGAGGGGTAACCCATGCGAACTGCACCAATCAACATTTCCGCTGCTGACTCCAAATAACAGTAGGCATCGATCGGGACATCGACTATCCGAATCCAGAAACAGTCTTTCGCCTCCTCCCGCCTAGCTTCTTGGATCTCAACCTCGGTCATCCAAGGTTTAAACACAATGTTATGCCATCTCTACTTTAAGACTACTCTCACCGAGTTTTCTTCCAGCATCCAATCTGCCACCTGCTTATCCTTAGCCACATACGACAGTACGTTGCTAGACTTGATGCAGACCATGCCCCTGGTTATGAATGGATCGAACCGTTGGTTGCTCAACCATACATCCTCGAAGGCCCATTTCACGTCCTCCTTGATTTTCTTCGGCAAGTTCTTGGACCTTTCTTGGAAAATGACGGTGACTGTTCGCTCCTTGATCTCGTCCAGAGAGGGGTTAAGGGTGGGTTAAGGGTAAAGTGAGCTTTGGTTCCATCTGCTTTTAGTTCGCTGATATCCCATCCAGAGGGGAGAATGTCCGCATCAAAGCATTTTGCCAGCATCTCGTGTACCAATAGTTGGTGTGAGCTGGCGGTGGAGATCTATTTCTGTTCGCTTCCTCCTCTTTCAACCCCATCTGTGGTCTTGGCTGGCCCGGTGTTCCTGTGACATTTTCCACACCAACCATACTCACATCGCCTCCATGAGGCTGAGTCTTAGCGCCTTCCGTTCCTCCATTGTCAGTCCGAGTTTCTTTTACTTCCATGGTAACCATTGCCTTGGGAGTCTTCGCTGGGTAGACTTTCCGTTTGTCGTATGAAGCTTCCTGAGTATTGACTTGGTGTGGAGTACAAGGCTGCTGCAACAGTCCAGTGTGATACTAGACTACTCTTGGCGTGTAACAAGTTCCGAGTCTATGGCCAGCATTAGGGCTATTCCACATTCTTCGCCCTAGACAGACATAGATGACCTACGTGGAACATGCAAACCCTATCGGCAACCACGATGGCTGATTCTAGGGCGACTACCGTAGACCGGCCGAGGCCGGTGGCGGCAGAACCGAGCGCTAATGAACGGGCGCCCCCCTGGCTACTATCCCAATTCCGGGACAGTGGAGAGCAGTGCAGCAAGACCCGTAATCCCTACGTGGGTTTACTTCGCGAATTAAATTAAACTTGTGTTCAACCCGCCCGCACGGTCGTTTCACCTTCTCTCCCTTTCTTACTTCTTCTTTGCTCTCTTTTCTCCCTCTCTCCCTTCCTCTCTTCCCTCGCCTTCTTTCTGTTGTTTGTCATCTCTGTCCTTGGGTAGCTGTGGTATGTATGGTGTTCATGCTCGCTCTTAGGTGTTTGGCCGCAGGCGTTGACTGAATACACGTTTCACCTGCTGTAATCGGAGGGAACAGAGACTTTCCTTTTTTGGTTTGTTCTGTGAGGCCGCACGGACAACGTATCAGATACTACTCTTGGCGCCACGCCAGTCACGAAACGCAAAACGGCGCTGCATTCCCACAAAACCTGGCCCAAATCATCAGTGGTTATGAAAAGCAAAAGGTGAATCAAGCCATCTTCTGTGGGAAGATGCACACAACCATTGTTTCCGTTTCACGGGGGTGTGGCGAGTCCCTTTATCTTAGCCAAAAGGCTGCGGACCCACACTTCGCGCGCGCCGACATAAAGACAAAATAGGGTAGCGGAGAAACGCGTGGAGCGCCCTTTCCCTTTTTTTAAAGCTCCAGCAGAACCGGCGCGCGGGAAGTCCCACGCGGCGCTCAGCTGGCAAACGGCTACGTGTGCCGCGGTAGAACTTGGACTCAAAAAAGAATCCGCGAAAAAGAGTGCAGCAGGGGCGTACCTTTTTGTGCAAAGAGAGCAAGATATCTCCACGTCTGCAGGTCGGTCGGGACGCCACCACGTCCGCCCATACCGGTAGCATGGCGGCAAAAGAAAGCTCAGGAAAAAAGAAAAGCAACCTCAGGAACCAGCGGGCCTACCGTCTTCACCCAGATAGAACGCCACGGTATTATAGCTGCATGTGGACTGAAAAATGCACCAAATACGGCTATAATGATCGGGCGTTCTATTCGGGTGAAGACGGGTAGCGCAGTTGGTACACCAACTGTTGAAATACAGACTGAAGTTCAAATCCAGATCCCTTCAGATGAAGAGGCCTATCAGTTCAATGGTGATATATGAAAAAAAAAAACGAAAAAAAAAGACCGTCGCCCTTTCAGAAAAAAAAAAAAAAAAGGACCATACTCACTGGGACCATCTTACAGTTTGGACCATACTCACTGGGACCATCTTACAGTCTGGACCATACTCACTGGGACCATCTTACAGTTTTCAGATACGTTTTATTTTTAAAAGTCTTGCAAGTGTGAGGGCCTCGCCACACCACTCTCGAGTTGTGAAATGGAAAAAAAAAGAAGAAAAAAGACAAAAATGTGGGGGGTGCATCTTGGCCATGTTCTAGGGGGAAGTTCATTCTCATTTTGCACATTTCGAGAGTGGTGTGGCGATGCCCTGAGTGGGTGCGAAGGGATAAAAATATATAAAAATAAAATGTAAAGATGAGGTAAAAATGCCCTCTCGCACAACAACAAAAAAAAAAAAAAAAAAAAAGCCCTCTCGCTGCATAACGGAGGGCATTTTCAGGGCATATTCACACTTCTGGGTAAATGTATCTTACTGGAATTATGTCGCGACCTGCGTGCTTCTGACTGGAATAAAGGCCTGAGCTTAGTAGACAAACTTCTCGTATGAGTAGAATGCCCTCGCACCAGTGTGTATCTGACCGCAATTGATTCCAGAGGTGGATGTATCTGATGCTGGGCATAGTAACATCAGTATTACTTTTTCTTCTTACTTATATCGGACGTAATTGCGGTCAGATACATGTAAGATGGTGCTTGAGGGCATAGTAACATCAGTGGTACTTTTTCTTTTCACTTATATCGAAGTAATTGCGGTCAGATACATGTAAGATGGTGCTTGAGGGCATAGTAACATCAGTGGTACTTTTTCTTTTTACTTATATCGGGCGTAATTGCGGTCAGATACATGTAAGATAGTGCTAGTGTGAGTTGTGAGTAGGCGCCGAGAACTCGGAAAAAAATGGCGGGTGTATTTTAACACCTTAGCGCAGAAGATGCGCGCGCAATGCTACACATTCAATTAGTGAGAGCAGTGCAGGCGACCCCCAAGAGAGAGAAGCAGGGTGATGATGGTGTGGTCGGAGGCGACGGGGTCCTATTGCCACCAATGGCACGCGCGGGCGCGGGGGATGGCACGTGGAGAAGAGAGAAACGGAAAATGGTAGTGGCGCCACACGAGTTTTCGGGCGCCGACGGGAAGCAGCCTTACTCTCAGAACGAAATTTCACTCTGACGGATCGATCAACGTTGTCGAGGGGAAGACGCAGGAGCCGTACTACAGTAGGTAGTCACACACGCGTGGGATGAGGGCGAGGGCGGGGCCGGGAGAGGGAGGAAAGAGTTTTGGAAAGTGTTTTGAAAACGGCGGTAACCCGACACTTGTCGGTGTTCCCAAGGTCCTGAGTGATATTCGGGTAGGGAAGAGCGGGTAATGTTCGCGGGTGGCGGGGGGAAAGGCTACTCAAGAAGTTTCAGTTGTCGTGTCGTTGTCCTTCGTCGGTCGGTTGCTCGGTCGGTCAGTGGGAGTGGGTGGTCGGGAATATCTCGTGGGGGCTGTGCTGCTTTGGAGTGGGCCAATTAGCGAAGGTTGCGGCTAATCAAATTGTGAAATTAACGATCGGTGTGGGCGCGAGCGCAGGTGGTGGTGCTACAGGGGGAGGGGGGCGGCCGCGCGCGCGCGTGAGAGAGAGAGAGAGAGAGAGAGAGAGAGAGAGAGAGAGAGAGAGAGAGAGAGAGAGAGTCCTTTGGGGACATCAGTAAAAATCGGAACGGTACAGGGAAGAGTACCATGGCCGCTGCGAATGGATAGCTGTGGAAACGTTTTTCCCTCGAATCAATGGGATGTGTCATGGACCGTGGAGTTCGAGACTTTTGGGTGGCGCTGCAATTTGGGTGTGCACCAGGCATTACTTGATGAGACTGATAATGAAGATTGCGCCACCCGTCGGTCTTTTCCCTCAACCTCCTCCTCTCTTCTTCTGCTCGTGATAGGATGGACGGACGCGCGAATCGGCTGCTTATCGGCTGCTTATATAGTCGCGAGCTGCAAGACAGCAACGCATCTATTCTTGTTCTGCAAAGACAGGCTCCTTGGGAGTCTCTAGGGGCATACTCTCACTGACATGGTCGTCAACGTGTCGATATCGTCCCTCGGTGAGAGGATTTCCTAAGTCACCACACACACTGAGGCACCCCCCCGCGCGCGCGCGCACACACACGCACACACGCACACACGCACACACGCACACACGCACACACACACACACACACACACACACAGAGAGAGAGAGAGAGAGAGAGAGAGAGGTGCTTGAGAGAGAGAGAGAGAGAGAGAGAGAGAGAGAGAGAGAGAGAGAGAGAGAGAGGAGGTGCTTGTTCGCGTGGCGAATGCCTGCCGTCGTTACGCTGGTGAACGTGGATTGCGAGGAGATGATGAGTCGAGCTGACGGTTGGAAAGTGGGATTGTCAAACAGGGCTTAGACGCGCCTGGATCTCTACAAGAAGCGTGAAGCACCAATCGATTACTAGCTCGTTGATCGCCGCAGTAACGGTTTTGAACAGCCTTCAGGCGGGTTGTTTTATGTGACACGTGCGCTTATGCTGGTGTGAGGGAGGGAGATCAAAGTACGCAGTTTCCCTATTCTCTTCTCTTCTCAGACTCAGAGAGAAGTAGCGAAAGTCTTGACTTTTGCTTGTCGACTGCAACGACAAAGATGAACGCGGGACTGCGGGTCGTTTCGGATCGTTCACGGAGCAAGAGCAGGAAGGGGACGGGGACCTTCTCTGGCTATGGCGGCAGAATAGAAGAAGATCGTTGCTCGGAGAACCAGGTTGGGCGCGATGAATGTGCCGATGAGAGGAATTGCGTAGCGTCGAGCTCCTCGTCGTCGCTTTTAAGTTTTGCCCAGCGACCAGACACGTGGCAGTACATGCTTGCGCAGCTGCCTCTTGCAGACTTAGGAAAGGTAAGCATCAGAATCATAGGGCCTCGCTGCACTACTCTTGAAATGCACAAAGGACAAAAATCATGGCCGTGTACCTTTCCATACTCTAGCGGAAGACTCACTCTCGTTTTGCACATTTCTAGAGTAGTGCAGCGAGGCCCATACTGTATTACCTGGAGTGCTCTGGCGCTAGGAAATCCCTTGGGCTCTTCGGGATATCCTGTGGTCGTTCGGGGCGTTCTGTGGTCGTCTGGTGCATCCGATGGTCGTTCGGTATTCCCGGTGGTCCTTCGAGACATCCGATGGTTTTTGCGGAGCATTCGTGTAAGTTGGAATGAAGGATGCAGAGAAGATTAGCATGACCCCTTAAAACACAAGTAAAAAACAAAGACCGAGTGAATTAACTAACGGATCTTATTACGATTTGCTATGAGATGGTTGCAGCAGTTTAATATACAGGCGGTGTACTTTAGGGGAAGAATATACTAGGAAATAGTGATAAACAGAGGCCATAGACTGTCCTTCGTGCATGCTTCAACAGAAAATTCCATGCTCAACCGCACGCACTGAGCTCAGAAGAAACGCGCTCATTGCCCTACGCACGTTTCAGCCAGGAAGCGCACTAGGAAGAAGAAGTGAGGATACTAGGAAGAAGAAGTGAAGGTACTATGAAGAAGAAGTGAGGTTGTATGAAGTCGAAGTGAAGGAACTACGAAGAGGGTACTATCGAGGGAGAAAAGTGAAGTACTGTAGAGGGAACAAGCAAGCTTGGCTGAGGAAAGTATAGATGAATGCGTGATTTACTCCGCGGAGGATAGGCGGACGGACACACGTTGAAATGATTGGCGGGAAAAAAAACCAGGCGACCTAATTGGGCAAAAGGAGTAAATGAAATGAAACTAGGTGATTTCGTGCCGTACAGACAGAACTACGCTGATTTTTTTCTTTTTCTCTTTTGGTTGGTTGGGTGGGGCGGGGGGGGCGCGCGGGGGACAGGTTAAGAAGTTCAAAAAATGGGGAAATTCCTGTACTATAACCCTGCCCATGGGATATTCAGGAATTTGCCCTTTTTTTGGTGTACCTACATGTGACTGTTAGTCAACAGAGCATGAGTTCCAAACCTGACAATCAGGTGAACAAAGTTAAACCACCAGTACTTCCTAAAGTCGTGCCCGTTAACGCGCCACGATGTTCGGAAGCGTACAGGCCAGTACAGGAGCGCCCAAATTCATCCAACTAAAAACGTTTCTACTCTATTTTTTTCTTCCGTGGCCGATAGCTGGGCCAAGTACTGGTGGTTTAAGAGGGGGGCCTATCAGCGTTCTTTTTAGTAGTAATTACTGTATTACTATATTTAACAGGGGGAGTTGTAAGGAAGAAGATAAGAAATGAACTGATATCTTTTTTGTTTTCCTTTGTTTTTTTCGCTTTTGCGCTCTGATATTTATGTGATGGTATATACAGGTCGTTGGATAAATCCATCAGAAATAGAAACGATGGAGAGAAGCTTTATTAACATGGCCCCTGCGCATCTAAGGATGATGAGAAGCAAGAATCGAGAGATATTTGCAAAAAACGAAAAAACGAATGAAAAAATGAAAAAACGAAAGAACAGAACTTGGTTTCTTTATAATTTCATTTTAATCTAGTTCGCGCGCCTCGTGTGGCGCGCCAGCACATTTCGTTTCCACGAGCGAGATCGGAGTCGGAAGGTCCCGCTACGTTGGGGTCCCGATGGGAAGGGTTTTCCGTCTTTCCGTCCACAGAAAGAACCGAAGGTAAATCGCGTGGGGGTACAAATAGTAAAAATGAACACTGATGGACAAAAGATGCTCTAATGAAACAGTGATGAATAACCAAAATAATCGGTAAAAGATTGAAAAAAAAAAAAAAGTAAAGAATAACGATAGTGGATAAAGGATGATGAAAAAGCAGTGATGAATTGACAGTAGCGGATTAAAGATAATTAATTTTATTACTATCAACTTAGTATCAAGTAAGTAAAATAATAAACAAATAGTGGATAAACGATGATGAAAAAAATTGCTTAGTACACAGTAGCGCATTAATAATCCAAAGGTCTACGATGAGCAGAACGAGCAGTCAAATACACGAAACAGATACCATTATCAGTAAATTAGCGGAATCATAAACTAAATTAGAGCAAATTTCAGCAAAAATCATCAATAAACTAAAGTAGAATCATCAACACAATTTTTTTTAATAATAAATTGGAGCAGAACCTTCAATATCTATAGTCAGCCTCCTGACGAGTCGGTGAAACTCCGACGAAACAGTTTGTCACAGCCCCTCGTTTGTTGTCCTCTTCTCCCTTTCGCTCTCTCTTCCTACGGTTTACCGGGAAGTTCTGTTTGACTATATATTTGTTGTCCTCTTCTCCCTCTCTGCCTACGGTTTATCGGCCAGCTCTGTTTGACGATATATATATATATATATATGTATTGTCACATTGGTAATCGGAGCGCAAAGGCGGAAAAAGACAGAACAAGAAATATATATGAATGGGGCTGCCCGGTAAACCGTAGGCAGAGAGGGAGAAGAGGACAACAAACGAGGGGCACCGACTCATCAGGATATATATCTGTTTGATGATATATGTATATATAGGCTAATATAGCTCCTCGTTTGTTGCCCTCTTCTCCCTCTTTGCGTACGGTTTACGGGGCAGTTCTGTTTGACGATATATATATATGTATACGTGTATATGAAACTCCGACGAAACAGTTTGTCACAGCCCCTCGTTTCTTGTCCTCTTCTCCCTTTCTGCCTACGGTTTACCGGGCAGCTCTTTTTGACGATATATATAATATATATATCAAAATATCGGCTGAATGGGGTAGTGGGAGATATACTTGAAGCATTGGCTGTTGGTATTGATGAGTATATTGCTGCGTATCTTCGTCCGACAGCACGACAATCCTGTGCTGCTACCCTAGCCCCACAATTGGCTAATTGGCGTGCTGCAGTCTTGCGTCACTGTGAGTGCAACATGACTACCGCATCACCATTGCGACAGCCTCGCTCTTTGCGGCACGCGCATACGGCCCTGCGTCAGCTTCAAGAATCCTTTGCGATTGTTCCAGTGGCTGACATTCTGAATAGCCATGCAGTTTGGAACAATGATTGGAATTATCCTCATGCTGACACATTGCCGTATCTCTATTGTGTTCTTAAGGCCCATAAATCTCCTCCCACACTCCGKCCTATTCTTGGTATCACTGCCCGAAACAATCTTTCTTCTTCCTCTTCCCATACGGCCCGGCGAAGTGACCTGCACCCTTCCCAACGAGTCCAGCGTTTGCATCACCGACCGCCTTACAAGCCGGTAGCTAGTACAACGCCTACTTCGGCTCGTTTGAGTACAGCACTTCAAGGCGTCATC